CGCAGATTGAACTCGGACCTTGTGCTTGCCAGGTAGGTGCAGCACCACTGAGCTACGTCCCCAGCCCAAGAAACATGGAGAATTTAAAAAACACCCATATACAAAGTTACTATGCACTTAGTAATAAGATCATTTTTTTTACAGTTTAAGAAGATCTTAAACTAGAAATTTATTTAAAGTAATCCCCAACACAAGTCTAAACTTTTAAAAAAAATCTTTGTTTGCAAAGAGAATAAAGTTTACTTTTCCTCCCCTCCAATAAATAAAACATTGTCCATTTCTTGTTCCTACTCCATTTAGGAAAGAACTAAGTGTTACAACCAGAGGCTGAGGTCATGCCTATTTATCTGTGAAAGTTCCTGGGATCTATAAATCATTGCTAACCACCACAGGATATTTTAATCCCTTGCTCTGTGCTACACACTGTGCTTCTCACTGGGGATGTAATGCTGTAATGGGGATGTAATATAATCTCTCTTTTGGGAAACTAAGATCTGCCTTGGGGGAGAGAAAGAGAGAATTAATCACAGGATGGAATGATAAGGGTTACAGAGCATAAAGACACCACAAAAATGAAGAGGTAGAATAGAAAATCCTTCTGCCAGGTTGGGTGGGAAGGTGGAGGTTAGTAATTTTGCACTTAAATGACACTTGGAAATATCTGGAGATGTTTTGGTTGTTACAACTAGAAGAGGGGCAAAGGGAGCTGCTAAACAGCCTGCCACACACAAGACAGCTTCTTATAGGAGAAGATGATTTAGTCCCACATATAACAGCGCCAAGGTTGAGAAACAATACTGTAAGGTGGTATTCAAGATGTGTGTTAAAGATGACTTAGTCACCAGGTAGAGAAGCCCACTCTGCTCAAAGGCTTCACTCTGTTGATAGCTTTGAGAACATGCAGAGGGTAAGAATAAAGACAGATGGGACTGTCACGGACTGAGAGGGTTGAGAGACCAGAGTTCTGGTAAGGCTGGGTGACCAAGACTGAGCTGTTTGCTGAGATTGTCTGCATCCCTTGATGAGACCCGCCCTTTATCCACTTGATGATCTTCTCACCCATGTGAAATTCTGTTTCCTGTTTTCTTCTGGCATCCATTTATCACCATGGTAAGAACATTCCAAGATGTAAGGAGAACAAGATCTCTTGTGGTACCTCATCACAAGACAACTGTTTGGTTTTGTTTCCTGCCATTATCCATGTGGATCCATAGTTGCAAAAATAATGTATCTGCCACTGAGTCTGTTTTCATGTATTCTGATGTGCTTGTCCATCTTTTCACACAGGCTCGATGGATCATTTTAATGAGCCCATGGTATCCATTCAGGTGATGTGCCTTCATTTACCTATCAGTTCCTTTGTTTGGTCATTTTGGAGGCTTCGAGAGTTTTAGTATCACAAATAACATTGTAGTGAACATCTTTGTGTACATCGACTTTTGCTTTCTTTCAGAGATTTCTGTAGCATACATTTACAACAGTAGGATTAATATGTTAAAGGCATAAGTATGATTGTGGATCCTGAAGAGTGTAGCAATTTATGCACTTGACTTGCATAAATAAATAAGTATAGCAAATTGGCAAAATAATGCCAGCACTGAGTATGTATTTTCAAACTTATTTTTCTGGTTTCATGATATAATTCAATAATAACAAAATTATTTTGGTTACACAAATGTAATTTACCTAGCATTATGCTTGCCATATGGTAGTTTTTTGTGCTAGTGTTTCTTTGCAAATTAGATTTATCTTGGTCCTTGGAACACAGCCTAGACTGAGATCAATGTTTTAACAGTTATCACTCAAGGTATTTCACTTTGATAATAAGGACCTATTCTCATTAACTAGTAAGAACTAGGAAAAGCAGTATCACTACCAACTCATTTATTCTTATGTAGAAGTAAGTCTGAGCTATGAATAATTCTGACAGACGCATCCAAAAGAAAGTGTATGTCAGCAATAGCTACTGTGATTAAATAAAAACAAATTTCCCCCAAGTTGTACTAAAGCCTTTCTCTAACAGAAGCAGATATGTTATTAAATGAGAGGCCCTCCTCCAATTGATCCAAATCTAAAAGAATGAAAACACATTTTTCCATAATGTCAATTACAGAAAACTAGTAACTCTTGAAATTAAAAAGATTAGGTTATTTCTAAAACTTAACATCTGTGCTAAAATAAAATGTAAACAGTGGTTACTTTCTTACCCAAGATGCATCATGAACATCAAAACAGTCTTGAAGTTCATTTTGTCTCCTACATCCATAACCACCAAAATATATTAACCTGGAAAACAAATACAGAAAACTTTAATAGTTCTACTTCTACCTTGTCTACAAAATTGAGACACATGTTTTCTTTCACTCTAACACCCCAAAAGAGCCAAGTAAACTACAAAGATCATGGTTCCAAATAAAAATCAAATAGCAGAGGGCACAAATACCTAAATAAAGCAATTTAGAAAGTGAGGAGATCTCTATAAGAGAAAAGAATATATGGCTGAGATAACAGCAGAAAGAAGACAGAGGCAATACATACAGCCTTTGCAAAAAGAAATCATTCAAAGTTTTAACAGCTGCATGTAGGATGGCATAGGAAGTTAAAACTTAAGAAACCTGGCCACAGCCAGGGATTTAACTCAGTGGTTCCAGCACCTGCCTTCCAAGTGCAAGGACCTGAATTCAATCTCCAGTACAAAAAAACAAAGAAAAAGAAAAAAAGAAAACTAGCCACAGCAGGCATTTGAATCCACTCTTAACTCTTCTGCATGGTCTTTAGGGAGAGCTCAGGATTAGTCATCAAAATATGGAAATAGGAGTTGAAGGTGTAGCTCAGTGGTAGAGCACTTGCTTAGCATGTGTGACATCCTGGATCTGATTTCCCAGTCCCACCACCACAGGGAAAAAAAAAAGCTTGATGCAGAAGACAGATAAGATAGCTGGACAAACTTCATTAAAGCAATGTGAGGGTTAAAAATACTAAAGTTTGAGATCAGGACAGGAGAGCTGAAGAAACACCTGAGAGGCATGCCAAGCCTTTATACCAAAGACCAGGGGAAGAGACGCAAGACTGAAAGAGATCTCACAAGGCACAGAAAGCACACAATGAAGAGCAAAGAGAATTTCCGGGTGGCCCAAAGTCCTCCTGAGTGGCTCTAAAACAGATCTCTCACAGTTCTGAGAAGTTCATCAGCTATGAAACACAGCTGAAAATCTTCAGTGCTCAAATGCAGGGTCCTAGTGAAAGTCCTGCCTCAAAATATTTGAAGCCCATGGTAAAAGAGAATGAAACTACAGGTGCCACCAAGCCCATGCAAAGACCAACTACAGATAAACCTGATTCATCTCCCTTTCCAGAAGCCTGAAAAAAAAAGAATAATATATCACTTGCCAGAGATAAATATAATTAACTCCAGCCTTTATTGTCCTTTTATACAGACTATCTGGCATATAATGAAAAACTACAAGACACGTGAAAAAGTCAAAAAGATTTTTTAAAAAAGGTGGTTTATAATCAAGAGAGGAAAGAATTAACATGTACAGACTCAGAAATGGCCCAAATTCTAGAATTATCAGAAAAGGTCTTTTGAAATAACTAGATTTTAAGAAAAGCTGAGTTTCCAAAATAAGGCCCCAGGTGGCTAATGGAAAAAGAGAATCTGGTAGCCAACTGCTGACTGGGGGGCGGGTATACACTCTGGTTTCCCAGAGGAACCACAAACTGAATTTTGAGGCCCCTGCCCAGGCATGTTCCTGTTCAACTGCCAAAAGTCCCATTTTGCCACCTGGACCTATCAATAGCTGCAATTTGCAGTCAAGTTTAAAATCAACCAATTAGGAATGAGTGAATTTATATCCTCATTTGCCTAGTGACTTGAGTGGAGGGACCTTGCCAGGAATAACAAAACAAATAAAGATCCTAGTTAGTCAAAGAAGAACCTAATTAGTCAAAGAAGAAATCACAAGAGAAATTAGAAACTACCTTGAAATGAACATATAGAACAAAACTAAAGGGACATAGTAAAGGCAAACCTCAGAGAGAAATTTACAGCTGTAAATACTTACATTTAAAAAAAATCACAGCGACATATGTGCACCCATGTTTATAGCAGCCCAGTTTGTAATAGCTAAAGCTTGGAAACAGCCCAAGGGGCCCATCAGCTGGAGACTGGCTAAAGAAGATGTGGTATTTTTATAAAATGGAGTACTACTCAGCCATAAAGAATGAAAAATTAGACATTTATAGCTAAATTGATGCACATTGAGGGCATACTTTTAAGTGAACTAAATAGGATACACGTGTAAATACTGAATAGTTTCTCTGGTATGAGAAAGTGAAAGTGTAATAAGGATTAAAATGAATAATTGATAGTGTGAAACAGGAAGAAAAGGTCCAAAGGCGTAGGGGAAGTGGGAGGGGTAGGGGAAAGGAAAGAAGGGAAAAGAAAAAAATATGAGAAAAGAAAAAAATGAAAACAAAGACTGTCAATGGAGAGGAGTGGAGGGGTTAAAAGAAGGGCAGGGGAATGGGGGAAAAATAAGAACCAAGATACATCATGTAAATGTGAATGTAAATGTGTTGTATACCTAAAAAGTACAAATAAAAGAATTTGAGATTAAAAATAAAATTAAATAAAAATTTAAAAATCATTAACAAAAAAGTACCCACTAAGGAACTAGAAAGAAAAGAGCAAATTAAACTCACAGAGAGCAGAAGGAAGGAAGTGATAAAGACTGAAGGGGAGATAAACAGTGAAAAGAAAAACAATCAAGAAAAACAACAACAGTAAAAGTTGGTTGTATGAAAAGATTAGCAAAATTGATAAATACTCAGACTGACTAGGAAAAAATGTAAAGGACTGTGGATGTAGCTCAGGGGTAGAGTTTGCGTAACATGCACAAGGCTCTAGATTCCATCCCCAGCATTACCCAAAAAAAGTGATTATGACTGCTGACATTACAGGAAAAAAAAAATAGAAAATGATACTATGAAAAACAGTATGTCAACAATTGGATGATCTAGGTGGAGTTTTAAAAATTCCTTGGAAAGCCGGCATGGTGGCATACATCTGTAATCCCAGTCAGTACCTGGGAGGCTGAAGTAGGAGGATTTCTAAGAGTTTGAGGCCAGCCTGTGCTACACAATGACTTCATGGGTAGCCTGAACTACATAGTGAGACCTTGTCTCAAAAAGAAAACAATGATGACAACAATAAAAAAATCCTAACAAGATTCATTCTACAGCGGGGGTTGGTGATACATATCAGTAATCCTAACACTCAGGAGGCGAGGCAGGAGAATCTCAAGTTGGAGGACAGTCTGGGGTACATAATGAGATCCTATTTTTAAAAAAGCCTAAAGAAACAAAAAATCAAGTAAACATAACATGTTGAGATTGAATCAATAATCAAAATCTTTCCCAAAAGTAAAATCCCAAGGCGAGGTGGCTTCACTGGTGAAGTCTACCAAACATTCACTCATTCATTCATTCATTCATGTATTTGGCGGGGGCGTTCTGAGACAGGGTCTCACTATGTAGGGTCTCACTACCCTCACAGGGTAGTGACCCCTCACAATGTCTCACTATGTTCCAGGCTGGCCTGGAACTCTCAGTGATCCTTCTGCCTCAGCCTCCCAAGTGCTGGGATTACAGATGTATGCCATCATGTCCCACAACTATCAAATATAAAAAGGATTAACACTAATCCTTTTCAAACCATTTTAAAAACTGAAGATAAGGGAATATTTTCTAATTCATTTTATAAGGCCAATACTGCTCCAATTCTAAGACCAGACAAATACATTGCAACATAGGAAAACTAAATGTATCTGAGAAGGGATTAATATCCAGCATATATAAAGAATGCTTGCAGGGCCAGGGATTTAGCTCAGTGGTTCCACCACCTGCCTCGCAAGCGCAAGGTCCTGAGTTGAATCCCTGGTACTCACCCCCACAAAAAAGAATGCTTGCAACTAAACAACAAAGAACAATCCAAGCCAGGCATAGTGGCACACAACTGTTAATCCCAGCACTCAGGAGGCGGAAATAGGAGGATCACTGTGAGTTCAAGATCAGCTGGGCTACATAGGGAGTTCCAGGTCTCAACTACATAGTGAGACCCTGTCTCAAACAAATTTTTTAAAATCCAATTTTTAAAATGGACAAAGGAATAGAGATTTCTCCAAAGAATATTTTTTAAATGGCCAATAAGTACATGAAAAGATGGTCAGGTACCAGTTTGTGCCCACTAGAGTGGCTATTATTGAAAACGAAAACAAACTAGAAAGCAGCCAGCACTGGTGAGGATGTGGAGACACTGTGACTTTAGCATATTGCCATTCATAAGGTAAAATGTATAGTCACCATGGAAAAGTTTGATAGGTCCTCAAAACCTTAAACAGAATTGAGCACAGTGACAGATGCTTGTAATCCCAGCTAATGGGGAAGATGAGGCAAGAGGACTACAAGTTTGAGGTGAACCTGGGCAACTCAGTTAAGCCCTGAATTAATTTAATATATAAAAGGGGAGGTGATCAATGTTAAGAGTTCTTGTCTAGCATGGGTTCAATCCCTAGTATTGCCAAACAACAGCAACAGAACCTTACATACATAATTGCCTTATGGCCCAGAATTCTACTTAGTATATAACCAAAATCACTGAAAACAGGGAATAAAACTGTACTTGTTATGTTAGTGCTCAATGAAGCATTATTCACAATAGCCAAAGGTGAAAATAACCTACTGATAAATGGAAAAAAATATAGTGTGTGTATGTGTATGTGTGTGTGATGGAATTTTATTCAACCATGAAAAGGAAAGACATTCTGAAACTATAACACGGCAAGCTCTGAAAACATTACGTTCAGTGCAATAAACCAGATATAAAGGAATAAATACTATATGATTCTATGTATATGAAATTTCTGTATGAGACAAGTGCACAGGAGATTGAAGGCTACCAAGGGTTGGATGAAGGAAAACAGGAAGATACTGCTTAATAGGTACTAGAGAGTTTAAGTTTGGAGTAATGAAAAAGTTTTAGAACTCTATAATAGTAATGATTGCATGACATTATGACTTAATACTGCTGAATTACACATTTGAATATGGTTAAATGGCAGTTTATGATATATATATTATATACTTTTTTTTTTTTTGGTACCAAGGCTCAAACTCAGGTCCTTGTGCTTGTGAGGCAGAGCTAAATCCCCAGCCCTATGTTTCATATATTTTCATCACAACTTTTAACATTAAGGAAAACTCTGGAGGGTCAAAAATACTTTGAAGGGCAGCATGAGTCCTGGGAAAACAAAAGCAGGAAACACTAGGGGCTTACAGAAATCGATGTCAGCACCACAGATGTCTATAGAGACACTCTTTTTATGCAGGCCTAGGCAAAACTCAAGAGTCAGAAATCAATCCTACCTCTACTCAAACCCAACCTCTAGAATGCTTCTTCCAAGCTGATGTGACCAAAAGAAAAAGAAAAAGAAAAACAAACAAACAAACAAAACAAGAAGTATACTGATAATTACTCTTCTTAAAATTTTATGTTGCCTCAATGCTCATCTTGAATGGAAGCAGGACTTTCTTCTAAGAGAAGAGGGCTGTTCCCTTGGCACTGACTCCAGGTCTGCAGCCCCTCCCAGTCCCCAGCACAGAAGATACAGATAGCTGCCCTATCCACTGCCTCCTGGGGACACCTCCCTCTGGTACAGCGAGATACAGTGAGATACAACCCAGTTGGCTGGCACATGCCCACATGCCTGGGCCATGCAGATCTGCTGCAGTGACCACAGAGTCATGGGACCTCCTGGAACTCTTGCCTGTCTGCTGTAAAGCCAGTATTGAAAACTCGCCTTGGGCAATCTGCTTGGATAAGTACCTGAACCCACACCAGGGAATACCATGCAGTTGTTTAAAAAAAAACAATAACAAGCTTTCTCACTAAATAAGCAGTGGGTGCAGAGTGGTATACAGAGATCACTGATAACTGTTTGAGGAGGAGAGTGAAGGATTAGGGTAGTTGCTTCTCTCTGCAAAAAGCAATACTAATGCCAGTAGCTCCCAAACTTGTCTGCACCTTGGAGTCACTTGAGGATTTTCAAAACCCCCTACTCCTACAGACTTAGTTTTTAACTGGTCTGGACTATCACCGTGGCTACGGAAATTTTAGAAGAACACAGCTAAAGGAGGAATAAAAACGATCTCCAGATGATTCCAATGACAGACAAGTATGGGAAGCACCACCATAACAATACGAAAATATCAATAAAAACAGTTTTGCTGGGCACGGTGGTGCATGCCTGTAATCCCAGCACTCAGGAGGCTGGGGCAGGAGGATCACTGTGAGTTCGAGACCAGCCTGGGCTACATAGTGAGTTCTAGGTCAGTATCAACTACATAGTGAGACCCTGTCTCAAAAAAAAAAAAAAAATCAACCCCCCCCCAAAATTACGAAATAAAACGTTTTTTGGTACACATATAGAGTCAGAAATCAATCCTAAAAATGAGTAATAAACTGTCACTGTATACCTTTAATATGACTTCAATTGTAGAACTGTAGAATGAATGTATTAACAAGTCAAAAATTAAGTCAAATAATAAAATATGTGAAAAAATTCCAAATAATTGCTTCTACCATGTTCACTTTTATGACATGATGCTTATCCAGCTTTAGAACAGCTGTTATCTTTGACATAAAAATACATCTGTAAGCTGGACGTGGTGATGCACACCTAAAATCACAGCACTTAAGAGGCTGGGGCAGGAGGACCATTGTGAGTTCGAGACCAGCCTGGGCTACATAGTGAGTTCCAAGTCAGTCTCAACTACATAGTGAGATGCTGCAGCAGAAAAACCAAAACAAAACAAAAAAACAAAAACTACCATCTGTAGTTGGGCCCTGTGACACAGTACAGCAATCCCAGCATTTTGGAAGGCTGGGACAGAATGATCACAAGTTCAAGTCTAACATGAACAACTTCGTGATTTAGTGAGACCCTGTCTCAAAATTTTAAAAAAAGGCTGGGGATATTGCTCATCTTAAAAGCCAAGTACAAAAAAAAACTTAATGATATCTTGGAAAAAAATTCATACTTTCATGTTTCTTCTATTTTGGTGAAAAGCTGTATCTTACTTAAATGCAGTTACAGTGTGGTTGCTGCATACCTGTCTTTATACACCCAGCAGGAAAGCTTATCACGAGGGGTGGGTGGTTGGCCTTCAAAGTTGGTGATTTTTTCCCAAACATAGGTTCCATCTCTTGTTCGTAAATTAACGAAATAAAGCTTTTAAAAGATGAGAATATTATTAGCAGGCAGCGCATTTCAAAATTAAATTTACATCAGGGCAATTTGTAATCCAAAAATTAATGATCACTTTTTTATTTTTAATAGGTAAAATTTTTACCTACTAGAAATTTAAACTTACAGAATTAATGAAAAAACTGTTTTAGAAGCAAAAATGCTACTGAAGACATACTGAGTGGGCTTGTCCAATAATGCTCTTTCCCCATGTTGTTTTTTCTTTCCTTTTCTGTCTATCTTTAAAACCTAATTGTAAACAGAATTTCCTACACGTATTTTCTTTAAAAACTATTCATAAACTTCAAAGTTGAAGTGATACATTAATACTACATTTTGCTGCACTCCTGAAATAAAAGAAAGCATTACTCGGTTGCTGTATCCTTTGTCATCATAGCCTCCAAACACATACAGCTTCCCGTGAATGCAGGCTCCGCAGCTTCCCGACATGGAGGTGGGGAGATCTCCTTCCATCAGGTGCATCCGCCTGCAGAAGAACCACATGCATCCCTTCATTCTCAACTGCCACTGCCAGTTACAACTCAGACATCATGACAGCCAACACTATAAAAACTGTAAGAGGATCCCGAGCAAAGACTTCAACTTGCTAAGGGAAACAATAATAATTTTCACATATGGTCATCAGAATTGGGAATCAGTAGGAAAAAATAAAGTCTTCAAAACGCTGATCCTGACAGGATTAGTAAAGGACAAAAGAATGGGAGCTGGGGGTGGGGGTGTACATCTGTAATTAATTCTAGCATTTGGGAAGCTGAGGCAGGAGGACTGCCAGGAGTTCAAGGCAAGCCTGGGCTACACAGAGACCCTGTCTCAATAAAATCAGAAAACTGAAAAATTCAGAGTGGAGAAGGAAGGAAAAAAGACATAGAATAAAACATTCAAAGAAAAGGAGAGGGAAATTTCATAAATGTTCTCGGCAGGATTTCAAACTCCATGCTGCCTAAGAAAACATTTATAAGACATTAAGATTGGATATTCTGCAACTTAAAATTACTTACCACAACCCACTATCAATATCATAGGTCCAAATTTCATCATTAGGCAAATATACTTCATTGTCTTCAATAGACTAAAAATACAGAAAACAAAAAATTATGTTTACCAATTATATAGTGACACTTAGTTCCTCAGAATTAGCAAAATTGCAATTAAAATACTAGAAAAGAAATCAGGTTCAAAGATTATTTTTCATTATAAAATGAGACATCAAAAGAGATGGAAAGATTTTCTAAGAGAAAATGGGAAAACACAATAAAGGTTTAGAATATAAAATGGCAAGTATAGGAGTCTCATGAAAAAAAGAGAGAGAGATTTTGAGTAAGGGAAAAATAGCAAAACAAGATTTAGAGCAGAATATTAATGTTTATGAAGCCAGGAAGAAGCTAGGCATGGTGGCATGCAGGAGGCTGAGGTAAGAAGAGTGCCAAGTGTGTGAGGCCACTGCGGGCACAGAGAGAGCTCAAAGCCAGCCTGAGATACATACACCCTGTCTCAAAAACTAAAAAAAAAAAAAAAAAAAAAA